AGAAATGCAATATTTGGATAAAACATTGATGCCAAGTTTGCGATGTTTTTAACTGTAGTAATGTAATTACGTTTGCTTGCAATACTGTTAAGTCTTTAAATTATCCAAAAAAAAATTACGTCTGACAACAACGTAACTAGGCTTGACCGTTATGGTAGTATTTGTAATTAGGGTCATAGATTTGTTTCATTCATAAAATTTCTTCAATACAGTCCCAGACAACACACCAAATCCCAGAGATATCCACAGGATATCTTTTCTGAATATCCAATATATCCACAGGATATCATAGATATCCCGTGGATCTTATAAGGATATCCAAATGTCCGTCTATATCCAGGATATAGAAGATATCCTATCCAGCAAAATATCTAATGGGTATCTCCCAGACAATACACGAAATCCCAGAGATATCCACAGAATATCTTTTGTGGATATCCAATATATCCCCAGGATATTATAGATATCCAGTGGATCTAATATGGATATCCAAATGTCCGTTTATATCCAGGATATAGAAGATATAGAATATATTCTATGGATATCCAGAAAATATCTAATGGGTACCTTTAGTAGAGGTTCATAAGTAACCAATGGATACATCCTACATATGTTTAACATATCCATTATTTGATATATTTAAGATATCGAAAATTATATGCCTATAGGGTGTCGTATTTAATGCTTCATTATTTTTTTTTTTTTGAAAGATAAGTGGAATAATGCACTGCATAATCCAAAAACATTCCATATGAAGAAAATCAGCATTTCAGTAGCATCACATCGGAACGCATTGTATTTTTAATTTGGTATATACACCTCCCATACAAGGTTTACTATTTTAGTGTTAACTATTTTTGGCGCTACACAGCATAGGTATAGCATGTAGAATACAATTAAATATTGTACACCATACCTAAAAAACCACCAAAATGTCATTAAATATGTGAAGTAAGTTTTAAACTTAATACAACGCACGAGTTATCTAACAAATAAATCATATTCTTAATTATTGTTACATTAAGTATAGTTAGGTAAAACAAAGACAAATATTATGAACAGGCTAAATATATTTAAAAAAAGTATAGTACCCGCAGCCAAGGAAAACCTAAACCTAATTATACATACACACATACACACACCACACACACAGATTATACATATATTGGCGCCGCAATTTCAACTGGAATTTTCTTCCTGAGAAAAAAAAAAGACGCTCTGTTGTAGAATTCCACAAAAAGTGAAACTATATTTTAAATCAAGCTATACCCAAAAAGAAAAATGAAGTCTGAGTGTCACTTATACAATATACCGGGTGTTCAAATTAAAGTGTTACAGTCAAATACCGCCGAAAATATGCATTTTAGAAAAAAAAGTTTCAGACAAAAGTTTTATAATTTTTTGGGGGAAACATTTTGGCTAAATTCATTTTTTTGTAGCTGACCATAATATGGCCATATCGAGGTGGACTTTGTTTTTTTAAATGGGAATCCCATTTTTTTCTTACATATTCTTAAAGTACATAAAAAAATAAGAAACTTTTGTGGGAAATATTTTTTTTATTGGACTTTTACTTTTGAGTAACAACTACTTGAAAATGTTGCTGCGCGAAAAAAAAGTTGGCCATATTATGGTCAGCTAAAAAAACGATTTTAGCCAAAAGTTTTTCCCCACAAAACTATAAAACTTTCGTCTGAAACGTTTTTTTTTTTATAAAAAGCGGTATATAGCTGTAATGCTTTAAGTTGAACACCCGGTATAACACTAACTAATAATTTAAAAGTCGATATGCAACCCATTTTACTTTGTTGTGCATTGTTTTGTGTTTGTTTTTGTGAAGATTGACATGCATTGTGGATAGCCTATCCGTTTTGCCTTTAATGAATATTTGTTAGAGATGGGCGCTGTTTTTTATGTGTAGAGGTGTTTGATGTCGAGAGTGTTCAAATTGTATTTGAACAGTCCAATTTCAACAATTTTCGACCACGGGTATGTGTTTTAAGGGCTTCTAAGGAGCCTTTTTTTGTCTTTTCGCGTACAATACGTTCAATTGTTGAAACAGATACTCCAGTTAAAAAAGAACTGCGGTTAACAGCTTCATTTGTAGGAAGTGTCTGTTTCAGCCCATCATACACTTTCCATATAATGTTCTTTTCATCCTTTGATAAGGGCTTTCGCCGACGTAATTGGGTTTCACTTGGACCCGCCTCTGAATCCATTACTATTGTAACAATATAATTCTACTATTAAATTGTTTTTATTAAATTTATAAAGACACCAATATTTTACTATTTAATAAACTTTTAAAGTACCTACCTAATATACTACACAATAAATATAACTCCTCGAATATGCACTACCACTACCAAATTGTAAGGCACAAACATGAACACCTACTCGTATATCAGAAAAGAGCACTTATACAAAAAATTGTTTATAAAATATAAAATAATTATCGTAAATAGTTAAAGCGAAAGTTAATTTCAACTGTCTTTGTGCCTGTGCTGACAATATTTAATCTGTAACCCGTCTATCGTTTATTTACTTGAAACACATTTTAAAACCATTAAACACAGATAACGAAATCATTAGGGAATAAATATATTCATTTTTTGAAAACTATCAAAAACGTATATTTAACGCATCATCTTTGTTTAAATAAAGATACAAATTTAATAAAGTTTACTAACAAATACCTAATAAATAATAAATAATTATATGGTATTTGATACGCCGCCTATGCTAACTCTGTCGGAATTTTCATTCATAGACAACAGTGTTGATCATGCATATGACTCACCTTCTCCAATATTTTGTCCGAGTATAGCTGAAGAATCTTTAAATACGTCCAGTTAATTACACCATTTGACAAAGCGACGTTCTTGAGAGTAACCAGCTTGTCAACTGTCATCGGTCCCATCCAATATTCGAATAAACCAGTTGATTGCAGCACATCAGCAAGCGACGTTCATGTGAATCACGAATTTGTCAACTTTTGATCTATTCAACTAAAATAGATCTTCACATCGGTTTCACTGCGTTACATGTTATCAAATAAATATGAAAATTAGAAATGTACCGTCTAGAAAAAGGTAAGAATGCCCTTAAATGAAACATGTATCCATATTGATGTTTTTTAATAAAAACATTGTGGTATAGATTTAGAATTTTACACTTTTATCAAGAAAATTGATCACATTTGAGATGGATATTCATTCTATATGTCATTTGTTTATGTGAGTAACTAACGGGTTATTAACCTCGACCATGCCACCGGTATATCATCTTTTTGTGGGTTTTTTCTTTAAAATAAATAACCCAAGTCATAAATATTAATAACATTAGATTTGTTGCACTTGATGCTCGGTTATATCTTACTTAGCGATCTTAATCACGTATGTCCTTCCTAGATAATAAATTTCAACCGCAGCGCTCTGGTCTCTTAATTTGATTTAAAATCTGCAAACAGTTAGTTTGCAGAAACGCATCATATTTCCAAATTCCGCGCAATCTTTGAGAGACATATTCTAAACCCTGTCCACGAGCATGGCATGGACATGGCGCTGTGAACTGAATTTGTTAGGTTGCCTCTCAAAAGTGACTAAAATTGCTAATAAATCCGTAAACAAGTGAGTTGCATTATTTGATTTATACTAAAACGATTTTAACACAACACATGAAAGAAGAAGGAGGCAGCTAGAGGCTGCTGAAACTTTCATTAGTAGCAGGGGGCTATATTCAAACTCGAGAGAAAATGAATTCTCTCAAGATTCTCATGAGAAATGTCATACGTCAACGTGAAAACAGTATTTTTAAAGCCAGTGTGAGAATTAATGCTTAAGAGAATTTCAATTCTCTCGAAAAAAACCAAGAGAAACAATCAGTATCACTGGCTTTGAAAATAGGTACTGTTTTTACGTTGACGTATAACATTTCTCATGAAAATATTGAGAGAAATGAGTTTGAAAATAGGCCCCTAGCTGGTATCGGTAACTCGTAGGGAGTCTAATCTTTTAATACGGCACATGTCGATATGCCTATCTTCGTTCGACAGAATGCTATTCTTATGTAATGTCTGTCTCTCTATTCAACATGTGTTGAGTTCGCACATAAAAATCCCTGTACAGGAATAAAACCTAGATCACAAGCGTGTATCGCGACAATGCTTCGGTTGTGCCTGAGATCTTCTGGCAATTAGACGGAAAGAAAGAGGATGGTGTCGTGTCGGTGAGGGCAGTTTTTGTTAGGTTGCAGTAAAATACTCGTTATTTCCTGAGCATATAAATATACCGGGATCTCGGATAATTTGTACTATATTATCTTTAAACGTGTCAATCTCAACAACTGAAAATAAAGCTTCTGGTCCATAATTTTTGCTCAATTTTGTGGTGGCTGGCCAATACAAATATTTATTTCAAAAGTAAGTAAACTTGATATTTTCTTTTGCACGGTAAAAATTTACAATAATACATTTATGGTATTTTAATATTTGTTTTGCAAAAAAAAACGATTTATTACTTAATTCTATTTTATTTAAGTGTTTTTATTTTTCAAATGTAAAACACATACTACATGCTATATGCGAACAAGTGCAAAACTTTTGTTTTTGAATTGCATTACATTATTTTTTTTTTTAACAGATGTGTGCTATATAACAATCTTATTGCAGAAAAAAGTTTGGATTCAGGGAAAGGGGGTGAAATGTGGGTTATTTAGCAAAAATAGTAATTTTTCGTAAAAAATCGAGTAATATGTCGTTTTCTTGGTTTTGGGGAGGGGGTCGGAGAATTTTGCCCGCACACGGGCAGCAACTACAGCAATGGCCCTGGATTTCATATCAATGCAGTGTCCTTACTAGAATGGATAGGAAATTATATCCGTTCAGTAGAGCGCAATGGCCTACTTTTTCGTTTTATTGCCTGTGCGTAGAATAGATGTGAGTGTAGAAAAAATATTGTAGGACACACGTGTTTAATAAGTGTGTTTTTTAAGTTAATTATTCAATTATTGCCCATATTGTACTGCACAATAAGAACCAAATACGTAATAATAGATGAGAAAAATGTTGTCAGACATGATTGGTTGACGTTAAAAAATCCACCAGCAGAAAAAATCGGACGCCATTCTTCTTCGTATTTGACTAACACAAGTAATTTATTTTTTACTTCTTGGTCATCGATGATTTCGTGTAACCAGTAGCATGTTTTTGACAACTGATTACTAGCTTTATCTACAGCGTCACAGGACATCGTAACCAGCACCATAACAATCTAAAATGAAAAAGAAATATAATAAAAGAATATCATAGACATCGCTCCGTGCGTGACAGCAGCGCCAATTCATTTTTGTATTAATGGACTATTTTTGCCTGTACTGACAATACAATTTTTATTAAAATTCGTAATTAAAAAGTATATACAGGGTGTCTGTAAAAGGTCTTTACAAAAACATACCACATATTCCTTAGACCAAAATAAGTCGATTTAAGTAAAATTACCTTAGTACAAAGTTGCTTCGTTTGGGCTCCAGAAGGCCTTGAAGTTACAATTTTTAAATCGTTTTTCCCATATAAATTTAAAACGGCATATGCGATTTTGCTGAAATTTGGTATATTGGTAGAGTTTTATGTGGCAAAAAAATGGCATTAAAATTTTGTCCTGGAATTGTGCTGGAATTGTGGTGAACTAGGACATGTACGCAGTTCATGCAAACGTCCAAGGGTTACAACGAATCAAGACAACACGCCGCAGGAAAACTAGAGCGGGTTGGCTTAAAGGGGGCAACTTCGACCCGAAACCGTTCCAAAGACCCTCTCATACCAATAGCCTCTTTGAAATGTCGCGATGATAGTGTATACGTAGACAGCTAAGTAAATGGTAAAAAGTATACAATTTTGGTGGATACTGGAGTAACTAGGACTATTGTACGACCAACAACTATAAATAACCGTAAGAAATTTCTACCAACAAGATTGCGACTGCGGACTGCCACTGGTGAAAGTGCCAACATCTTAATCCTGAGATAGAAAATAATGATTTTTCTGAATAACTTATTAATTATATAATATTTTGAATAAAAAAACTATAAATAAATACTATTTAGAATTTGTATGATTGTTTATTTTTTAAAAAGCCATATTTTGAACAGATGTATATCTGCGAGAACAACGCTGAATTTTAGGTCGTACAAAAAATAGGAGTGCAGGTCATATAATTTAAGAATAAACATACATGTAGTTGCTTAATTTTATGGAAGCGTACTCTATTTTTAAAGAAAACAAAACCGTTTCCTGTCAAATCATATCACCCATACTTCATTACGCGTTTTAGTAATCGCGACCTTTCGGGAGGGTAATATATACAAGTAAGCCTTTACTTTAAAGGGAGGGATGTTCTATGCGGACCGGACTAGTATAATTACGATTGAACTTCCATACAGGTAAGTCGTTTAATCTTAAATTATACTTCCTAGTCCGGTCCTTATAGCCCACACATGTAAATGTTTAAAGCAAGGGAGCGATATTCTTTGATGTCCTTTTTTTAAGTAAAATCCCTATAATGTTAAGTAAAGTCCTTATAATGATAATGATAAGTAACTTTAATTAATAACATTTTATCAAAATTCTTATTCATTCTTATACAATTCCATTGAAAATAATATGTAAAAGAGTACAAAATAACAAATTATATGTTTCCATTATTTAACTATTTTAATTATAATCTAATACCATATCAAAATACGAATAGATGTATTTATATTACATAAGGCTTATCTCTAAAATCAAACAAACTTTAGATTTCTAATTTGTAAATCAGGAGTTAATATTTCTAGCTAGTTTATTGTCATTGATAAGCGACCTGTTATAAACTTTATAAAATTCCTGGGAAACCTTAGACCAGTGGTCGCCAACCTGTCGATCGCGAGCTACCGGTAGCTCGCGGAGGCAATTCTGGTAGCTCTCACAACGAATTTAATTTAAAAAATACAAACTGCAAAAATCAGAGAAGCTTCCGAAAATTCCACAAAAAATCTTATTGTTATAATATTAAACAGCGGCAACGTTGCGGTGAGCAATCTGCCGCTGACGCCATCAAGCTAGAATCGGCTAGAACCGACCAGCCGGACCAGCGCGTTAGTGTTCGAGGATTACTTTGAACGGGATAAATACGCACGGCGCGGCGACATTGCGCTTAGTTTAAAACTGAACGCGTAACCAACGTCCAGCGGTTGAGTTAGTAGAGAACAACAAAAAAATAATATTATGGCAAACAGTTGTAAGAAGGTAAAGACATACCACTTTCATTCGGAATGGGAAGAGCAATACTTTTTTACAGAAGTTAAAGATAAAAATGTGTGTTTGTTATGTAATACTTCGGTCTCCGTTGCTAAAAAAGGAAATATTGAGAGACATCAAAAAACTGTACATTCTAATTTTGAAAAATCATTTCCACTACATTCTTCCGCCAGAAAGGAGAAACTGAAACAGTTAAAAAAGCAGTTAATTGGACAACAATCAATATTTTAAAGAATAGTCGACAAAAATAAGGCTGCAACTGAAGCATCGTACAGTGTGTCCAGATAATTGCACAAAAAACAAACCTTATGAAGACGGGGAAATGATAAAACAGGCGTTTTTAGAAGCTGCTGATTCGTTATTTGCCAACTTTAGAAATAAAGACGAGATAGTTTCAGCTATAAAATCTATGCAACTTTCTGCTAATACAGTGATGAGACGTGTAGAAGTAATGAGCAATGATATTTTTTTACAGTTAAGAACTGACTTAGATAACTGTGTTTATTTTTCACTTCAACTGGATGAATCAACAGATGTCGTTGACGCTGCCCAGATGGCCGTGTTCGTCAGGATGGTTTTTAGTGATTTTACGATTAAAGAAGATCTTTTGAAGTTTATTCCACTGAAAGGACACACTACTGGACAGGACTTGTTTTCTCATTTAAAAAATATTATTTATTCCGAGAAAATTCCAATATCGAAAATGGTAGGCTTGTCAACCGATGGCGCTCCAGCTATGGTGGGTTGTGATAAGGGTCTGGTGGCGTTATGTCGTAAAGATGAAACTTTTCCACAATTTCTCTGTTACCACTGCATTATCCATCAGCAAGCATTATGTGGAAATTTCCTGAAACTAAACAACGTTATGAAACTGGTGGTAAAAATTGTGAACAAGATTAGAGCTCAAGCGTTACAAAGAAGATTATTCATAACCTTGGTCGATGAAGTTGACTGTCAATACGGGAACCTGCTCCTTCACTCTAAAGTCCGATGGTTAAGTAGAGGACGGGTGCTGAAACGTTTTAATGATGTCCTATCTGGCATAGTTCAATTTTTCAAACAACGCGATGAACCAACTCTGGAACTAGAAAATTCAATCTCGCTTCGAGATTTTGGTTTTCTCGTGGACATTACAGAGAAATTAAACGAACTTAATTTGCAGCTTCAGGGGAGAGACAAAGAACTAGCGGAAATGATTTCTGATATAAAAGCCTTTATCAAAAAGCTGGAGTTTTGGGAACAAAACCTAATTAACAGCGATGCCCAGCATTTTCCTATTCTTTCAGAAAAAATATCTCAAAATCCTTTAGAACCCTATGACAGCAAATATCATGTAGAAATAGTTTTTACCCTGAAGGATAACTTTAAAAATCGTTTTAAGGATTTCAACGAAATGGCTTTAGTAGCGCAGTTTGTTGTTTCACCCTTTATGGAAATTGATATCCAACAGTATCTGGCCTATTGTAAGTAAAGACAAATATTCAGTTCTATGCCGTGTTGCCTTGAAAGTGAAAGCATTATTCAGTTCAACCTATTTGTGTGAATATTCTTTTTCCAATATGAAGTTTATAAGAACAAATATCGCAATCGACTTACAGATGAACATTTGGATAATTGTATTCGAATGGCTGTAACAAATTATACTGCAAACATTAAAAAAATTATCGATGAGTCTGAGTGTCAGCCTTCTCATTGAACGTGCTTTTTTATTTTTCAATGTATATGTTCATGATAGTGCGTTACTTTTTTGTTGTTATTATTAACTATTTTTAAATCTTACGTGACGTGCCGTTGTGGCTGGATAAAAGTTTGTGTTTATTTTTCAAACACCTTCGTTTGGTAGGTAGGAATGTAGCTATGAACAAGTACGTACTAGTAATACTAGTTATTTTGCTATTAGTTTATTATTAGTACCTATGTATTATGTATTACCAGTTAAATAGTAAAATAAATACATATAATGATAAATTAACTGTGGATTATTTCATTTACGTTGCGTTACGTAGCTTCCGTGTGGGTAGCTCGCTGTTTATTCCCAAATTAAAAAAGTAGCTCAACACATTGAGAGGTTGGCGACCACTGCTCTATACGTATGTCTGGCGGCCGCTGGCTCTTAATCTATAACTTCATAGGAATACCTTTACTTACTAAATTGCATACAGATGACATACAAAATAACACGACTTCTCTAGTTCCTGCATCCGAATAATCCAATGCAGCCGAAATATTAACCAATATCTGGACGATACTAACAATGAAATTTAAAAACAATATTCCTCCATACAAATTGTTCGTTATTTTCACAATGCTGTCTGCCAATTTCAATGAAACAGCGATTTTTCTTATAACGACGAACTTGTAGTATTTATCAACTACCAATTTCAAATATTCTGCCATCGATTTGTAGCGATATTCTAACCAATTCGCTAAGAGAACATAATATAATGAAATAAGAATCTTGTATACGATGTTGGCAGACCTTAGAAAAACCAAAGCTTTAACTACGTTTCCTTTGCTGATGAAGTTTGACACATACCAGCTGAAATATGAATGTCGAAATATCAAGAATTTGTTTCTTCCGAAGAATTTCTTTTATTTAATCCTACGACGAAAAACTACTAGACTAACCCATTAATTCATAATAATTAAGTCCTTATTTATTGCAAGTATTCAGACTGTTTCATATCAGACAGACAAAACTCTCGCATCGGGTGCCGTATTAGAAAGAGCGAGATGGCTGTTAATTTGAGAGACGATGGTTTGCGCGAGCTTGTTTATCTGAGGTGTGAGCACACGTTTTATGAATAAACCAGTAATTATTATGGCACTTGTATTAAACTGCTGTCACACTTCAAAATAAATTACATACTTCTTGGAAATCGACTTCAACCTTAGAGCATAGGTTCTTTCGTTCGTCCCACTGGTGTAGGAATGAACTACACCAACGTACACCCATACCTTTCGTTTGGCCCGGTGTAAAATCCACTATACCTTCCTGTCGGCGATGTGGTGTACACTGGTGGATATTTTCTCCACCAGCTATTTAGCAGGTGTGAATTACACTCGACATGTGTATAAGGAATAAGGAGGAAGTAAATTAGGGTAAATAAGGTGGTGTAACTGGTGTAATTTACACTGGTGGACACTACACCAACAGCGAACGAAAGAACCTCATATAAGAGGTTTGTTCCAACATAAACCAAATCAGTTTGTGTACTGTCGGGATTCTGCGCAGTCTAGAATTTGTGTTCCAACAAACCTTAGACTCGAAACTGTACAAAAACATAGTGTTCCAACACAACCAAAATTAATCACAAACCGATTTGTGTACTGTCAAATCAGTTCCTGGGTCTGAATAGGAACGAATTGTCAAGACATGCGCTAAGCCGCAATAAACTGAACATTTCGTGATTGTAATTATATTATTTGTATCTATTGTCTCTGACAGTTCTGATTTGTATTTGTTAATCGAGCTTAGTCTTCATAGTTTTTGTTCATGATCATTTATTTTATTATTGTAAGAATGCGTCTGTTGAATTTAAAAAATGTGTTCCAACCACATACTTCGATATGTGGTTCCAACATAATCGAGTTCCGAGTTTAGTCCCAATCCCCGACCAGTACCTGACAAGTTGTCAATTACTATACTCTGTTTTTAAACTAAGAGGAGCGATTTGAATTTAAGTTGGCAATTCTGTAGCCTTCTGATTGGTCAGATTACAGTCAGTTTCACACATTACGTTTTAGCATGAACATTAGCTAATAATTGATATTGTTGACAGTTCTGACATTTTATAATTTGATATCTCATCCATTACTTAGTTTTTTACTTTATTTCGTAAATAATAATTCTTCAGTAAGCAATTGTATTGAAAATCTACAATTATGGATCCTTCTACACTGAGTACTATTAAAGGTAGCAATTCCTGAAAAGCCTTACAAGAAAGGGAAGACACCTCATTATTTTACATGCTGATTCTGAAGGTTTTGTAGAAAATGCATTATTGGTTTTTGAAGGTAAAAAGATGGGAGATTACCATGAAGAGATGAATTCCGAAGTATTTTAGAAAAAAATTATTTTATTACTGATTTTTTAAAACTAAAAATTGATGAATTTCTAACCAAAATGATTAAAATGTAACTAAATATTTAAGCAAATTTTATTTATTAGAATAGAATAAAACTATTTACAAAATTGTTATAACATTTAAAACACCATCTACTACTTTAGGGATAATCTTAATTTGGCACAATGAGTTAACATTACTTTCACAAAAAATATTTTAAAAATACTTAAAATTAATACATAGGTATGTATGAATAGTTCACTTTAAAAAATATGTTGACATGTAGTGTTATGAAAATGTTGGTTCCAGTTTTCAAAACAAATTCTGACTCATAGGCCTGTAAACTTTTGAATGCCTTTATTTGCCCTCTAGCGCATTAACCATGGGTTAACACTAAATAAGCCATAATATTCACATTACTCATAGAAGAGATACCAGTTACTGTGTGGTCCACTTGTCATTCACTGATTAATTTTTGCTTTTTATAGCTATAACAAATCCTTAAAAATGTAAACAGATCTTTATATTTTATACTAACCTGGCTACATCTGGATATTCAATTAACAATTTTCTTAAATATTTAATATCCATTTTAAAAAGATCATAGTTATTCTTAAAAAGTCGATTTCAAAAGCAAGAAAAATGTATTTCTGACATCAATCAACAACCATATTGACTTTAATTTGACAGTGACATTTCGTTTTAGACACACATTTCAGATCACAATAATGTGAAATTTGCGACCGTTGTCTGGGACCAATTAAAAAATTACTTTTATGACATTTATTCGTTTCTTAACCGCTCATTGGCCGTTCGCCGACTAAGGCCGATAAAGATAATTATTTCATAAATTTTAAACACGACTATATTTCGAAACTCGCTCTTAGTAACAAATCTAGTTACTTTTCCCTGTGTAAATGCGTCTTTTCAATTCGCTCCTCCTAGTTTAAAAACAGAGTATAGTCATCGACAGATTGTCAACAATAAGTTTTGGACTGGTTTCTGTATTGTTCCAAGAGGCGAGTTCAGATAGTCAGAGGCTGGAGCGGGACAAAAGCGGAGTTTTTTAGGGTGCTTTTAAATGACATTTAAGTGTGTTAAACTGTCACTAATCGGACTAAACCGAACGCTAAAAGGGTCGTTTGGAGTAAAAAGTGTTAAAGGAGTTAAAGGAACTTGGAAGACCGAACGCAATGAAGATCGTTGTTGGAACAAACCTAAGACTAGAGGTATCATTCAATGTATTGTGTTTTGTATAAGCGGGGTCAACACTTTTGGCGTGAGGGGAGCGGGGTAGGTACTCCATTCTCAATGGCGTACGGTTTGAAAGGGTTCGTATTTATGATCACCATTTATACACTGTAATTTTACAATAACTAATATTTTAGATAATTGATTCGCATGGTTAATAAACAAATTTATTTAACAATGTTTTTTTTATTTATGTATAGCTTTTGTTATACACTGTATTGTAAACATAATTGATAAGGGAAATTCCCAGATAACGAAATTTAAAATTAAAATGTCAAAATTGAAGTTAGCAAAGCTGGATGGTTTAGAGTCTAGAATAATTTTATTGTAAAATTATCAAGGTTGTTGTTGATTTGATTTTGGAAGGGAAAATAATATATTAGAGTAATAAAGTATTGTTAATGATTGGAAGATTATAATAAAGAATAATACAAAAGGTAAAAAGAAAAGAAAATTTTATTTAAAACTCCTGAATCAAAAGAAAAGAAGGAATTAGTAAGGGTAACAGATAAGCAGAGACATTTAAAAAAATAGCACACAGGTAAAGATATTATAGCATACAGGTAGAGACACAGAGACAGGCAGAGACAAACAGAGACAGGGAAAGGACACCAAGCAGCGACAGGACAAAAGCAACAGCATTAACAGGACGAATACAACAGTAGGAGCAGAAGCAGAGCAGCAAGGGCAGAGAAACAGCTGATTTTTTTTTAATTCAATTCATTTTTAATTATTCTTATTTTTTTTATACAAAATTTATAAATTTTCTAGATTTTAAACCCGCCCAGTTTTGAGATTTGGTAGTTCTTGAATATTTTTGGAAATCCATATACTGGGTGTTTCCATATCAATATGTTCATTTAGGATTGAAAACTTTTTTTTACTGTAGATGTGTTGAAAGTGTATGCTTTCAACTGAATTCGTGGTCACACATTATGTTTGTTTAGTTCAAGTAGATCATTTAGAAACTGAAATCTTTTTTTATTTTGAGTACATAAAAGAAAAATAAAAACAAATAACAATAATTTATTTCTAGTAGTAAAAATATTAAATGTACATATTTATAAAACAAAACAAATAATAAAAATATTAATGCTACCGAATTTCCATGAAATTTCTTTATTATTTCTGTAGGTCACCACTTAACAGTTAAAAACCAATTGCCTATAAAATGGGATGAATACAGCAAAAATACATTTTATTCGTGAGATATATCATACACATTTTCAGGAAAAAACATGTTCAGTTACATTTTACTATCTATATTATTAGAGCACAAAACATTTTAAAATTATTACACAAAAACTTATATACTATTAATATATACACAATAGGTACTATATACACAATAAGTACTATATACACAGCAGGTACTATATACACAATAGATACTATATACACATATAAGAGAATATCAAATACAGTAGGTACATAACTATTCGTAATAGACATATTTATTAACTTTACAAGCAGAACACAATAGCTTATTTTGCTTCAACTGACTGATTTTGTCCATTCCACCCTTTGCCTAATTACTATCGGAATCCCAGGAAAACAGATTGAGAGGCATACAATGCTTCCCTGAGATGTAATCTTCCGAAGATGAGAAAGACGATAAGAACAACAAATTACCTAGAAATGGCTGTTGATGAGTTTAATAACACAGTCACTAGCGCTTTCAACGATACCTGTCCCTTAATAGCAAGGAACTCTATCAGGAAAGTTCCATGGTGGAATGATGACCTTGCTATACTAAGGAAACAGGTGAGACAAAAATTTAATAAGGCTAAAATAACCGGCGAATGGGAACTATATAGAACCATACGCACCTGTTACAACATACCCTTACAAAAAGTCAAGAGAGAGTCTTGGAGAAGGCACTGTGAGGAGATAGCAGGCACTCAAGAATGTGCCAGGCTCCAAAAAATTATCTCAAAAGACACACAACACACAATAAACACCCTTAAGAATGAACTGGGGGAGTACACAATCACAGGGAAGGAAACAGTAAGGGAACTCTTCAGGATTCACTTTCCTGGTGCACAAATCATAGCACACACACCGGCTAACCATAATCTAAACGGACTGGAAGCTCATAACAGAGCCAACAGGGAAGATTGGAGGATAGCCAAACAAGTGGTGAACTATGATAAACTGAAATGGACAATTAGCTCATTCGAACCATATAAATCACCGGATATGGACGGGATTTATCCAATAATGTTACAAAGAGGTCCTGATATTTTATACAGCAGACTCTGTAACATACTCAGAAGTAGCCTTTGGACCAAAAGCTTGGAGAAATATTAGGGTAACTTTTATACCAAAACCTGGAAAATAGGACAGGAAACGGCAAAGTCCCTAAGACCAATAAGTCTTATGTCCTTTGTACTCAAGACTGGAAAAACTGCTAGATAGGTATATTATAGACGGGATATTGGTTCAGAGGCCAATATACCAAGACCAATACGCCTATAGTACAGGGAAATCAACTGAAACATCTCTCCATCAATTAATAAAAAGGGTGGAGAACACACTGGAAAACAAGGAGGTAACGATGGGAGCATTCTTGGATATCTAGGGTTCATTTGACAATACCTCCGTTGAATCGATCATTAGATCTCTCAAACACAGAGAAATCGAGGACACGTGCGTGTCCTGGATCGACTCTATGTTAAGGGAGGGAACTATAAACACAATCCTTATGGGAGAGGATGTCCGCAAGGTGGAGTGCTCTCTTCACTCCTGTGGAACCTTGTAGTGGACGAGCTGCTTAGGGCTCTCAAAGATAAGGGACATAAAACTCTGGGATATGCCGATGATCTAGTGATCATGGCACAGGGAAAATACAACACTATAGTAAGAGATCGAATGCAAGAGGCTCTAAATATGGACAGAGGTGGAAGGACTAAACATTAACCCAAACAAATCTGACATAATTGATTTCACCCGCAGGAGGAAATTGAAGGGACCAGGGCCTCTAAACCTAAGAGGTGCAAGCATCCAGCTTAAGGGGGAGGTAAAATATCTCGGGGTTATGATTGACTCGAGACTTACCTGTTTGATTATTTTTGATGCTTTTAAATAAATAAACAAAAATAATTGCAAACTATTTTATAATTGGCTCAAATCTATTATGTGGACTCACAGTCCGCTGCCATCGGTAACAGTTCGCAAGAAAAGAAGGAAAACCAATAAAGGGAAAGCTGAAGGGAAGTCTTACATTGGGACAAAAAATTAGAGTGAGTGTATGAAAGAAAAAAGAAAAGGTGTTTAATTTAGCAGTTCCGCCAGCGCCTGTTTTAAGGACGAATTTGCTCTATTGTAATGCGGTCCGGGTAATTCAGAAGACAGGATTCAAAATAAAAGTATTTATTCTCTCTATTAAATAACAATATAAAATATATTTAAAATAAATTTGTATTCTTCACGGCCCTCGGGCCAATAGCCACCGCCTTTCGTTGAGTTTCGACAGCTGGGCTTTCGACGAGATGGTTTGCTGTAAAGTGGATCCTTGTCCTTGCTAGGAAACGACGGTGTATTGCCGGGCTTTCTGAAAATAAAATGTTAATCGGGTACGGACGTCGAAGACTCAACGCGTCTTTTACGTGGAAGCAGACTCAACTCAACGCGTCTGTGACTGGGAAATAGACTCACAACACGTCTATCAGGAAATCGGTAAACTCAACAAGTTACCAATTGACAAACTCAACACGTTCGCCAGGAGGGGCCAGGAAAAGGGCGCCATGGGGTTCGTAGAGTGTTCTATTTCAATACTATACTTTAACTAAATTATTTAAAAGTGTGAAATTTGGACACTTTATGTATTCTTTATTAAACTACAACCAAATTTTTACAAAAAACATTAAAAATAAATATTTTTAAATTTAAATAATTTTTTACATTCTCCTGAAATATTATTAAAAATGGAGCTACCTCCTTTTTGCACCAGTGTCTTCAATTGCTCGGAGGTAACAAGACTCTTGCCGCGTTTGAATATCCACATCGGATGCATTTGAGATGTTAAATCTTTGATCACGTGATTCAGTATACGTAAATGTAGTGGGACAGATGTGTCCGATGTGGATAAACAAACGCTCGAGATGTAAAAAATGCATCGGATGTGGATTTTCAAAGCGGCATCTCTCATGTGACAACTACGTGAATGACATCGTGAATGTTTGCAATAATTCGATTTTTAAATTTTATAAACAAAATTACTCTAGTAGTTGTTCGTCGTTGATTTCCTAGTTTAAGAACTTTATCAACCTTTCATTAGTAAAAAGTACTTACCCTAGTCCAAGTACGGGTATGAAAAAACAAATCACAGCGATTTTCAAGCTTATTAGCCACCAGTGATTTCTCTCGAACGTTTCGCATGTGTTCAAAATGTTTTCGAGTGCAAACATTTTGTCGTAAAGCTTTAGCCAATATTTCTTTCTTGAAAACAATAACGAAAAAATGTAATACAATAGGAATATTGTCGATGATATTCTCCATATAACATCTACAGCAATCATCGCAGGATGTTTCGTACGAACGTATTTTCCTTGGGAAATGAGATAACACATAATTGCCAATATACTTAAAATAACACCGACGATTTTAAAACGGAACTCGTTGCATTTGTTATTCCTAAAACCGAACATTATTAAAGTCATTGAGAATTGCAAATATTTTTAAGCCTTTAACAGAACATCATATAGATCGTCATCGTAATAGGTACCCTTCAGAGTGTTGATCCCTAAACACATACTTCGATTTTTCCTTACTATATGGAGAATGGTCGCACTGCGCAGCTTTCTGAGGGCCTTTTAAAAGGAGATAGAAAATTCTGCCATTTTGAACACTTATTACGTGTTGCCTACATCTTGGAGCAATAGTTTTAGTGGTTATGTTATAATATTTACCCAAAATCAGTTCCCAAAGATATTATTTACGAACTTACACTTTACAAAACCATTAACAAATAATGAAAACCTTGCTGTACTTGATGATTTTATGTTAAATATTTCCATTTGTAAGTAACAGTAACTACTTTAATTATGTTCCTATTGTTGTATTCTAAATGCTTTTTATTTTCAGGTCTCCTAGGAATTTACAGCACTTAACTTGAACAGTGTTTACAAACCATTAATCAAATTGTTTAGAAATTATTTTTAGCTGAACTCTGTTATTTCTGTTCTCAGCATTTTGAGGAAAATACTTATTGCTCTCATGTAAAAAGGTATGTGATCAATAATGAAACAATTCTTTGTAGAAGGTAAATACCAAGAAAATTGAAGCTTTTACTTCAATAGATAGGAGCAGTTTTAAAATCAAACGAAATAATATAAGTAAACATATAAGTAATATTATTTACTTTTTGGAACATTTATATTATAATAAATGTTTTTATTTATTTCAGGTTTACTACCTCTGGCTCATCTACACACCTGAAAGTAGAAGTAGCCTACAGCCTCACTAAGAAAAAACCCCCTCTGCTAAATAGTGTATCTGGAACAGTTAGAAAATAACTTGAAATATTTAATTTTTTTATTTGGTACACTAAGCTGTGTAACAATTTCGGATAAATGGAAATTTCTGAACTAATTTAAAAAAAATAACTGTTATACAAATTCAACGTGTCTGTCTTTTTAAGATAAAAACCAATTATCTTTTGCAGCTTGCCTGCAAGAGTATATTTCTCTGGTAATATCTTTTGAAAAAATGCAAAATTTAATATTAGATTGTTTAGCCTCAAAGATTTTTATTGCATTACAAAAATAAAACGTTTTTTTATGGGCATGGGACTGGCGAAAAATATCATAATATTAAGATAAAATCATATGCACAGCTTAAGATATAATTTAAAACCACTCACCTCTATTTCAAGATGCACTCGCAATTATAACTTTACTTCAAAGAAGTTTCTTGTATATTATTTAAAATAAATAAAATTTTCTTCTACATTAAGTTGCCTTCATTTAAAATCTCAAAATATCAAGATGTAGGCTACAGTTTAACATTTTGGAAAAATGTATTGCCTGACCTAATAGTAATTGCATCAAAATGACCGCGCCCTATGTTGGGTTTGTCGGATGTCTCTCTTGCACCGTATAGTAATCAAAGTATGTGCTCCTGACCTATTTATAGAAGTCGTACTCTGTAGAATTATGTCTTCATCAGAATAGACTAGGTCACGATAAATGTCTTTTAACTCTCTGTAAAATATGGCCCTAAAATAAACATAGATCTTAAAAATCCCCAGAGGTCGGTAGTAAATGGTGTACTAAATGAGAAAACAAATAACTAGTCAAAAATATTGAGTTAATTTTATTTATTCATTAAAATATAATACAATAATATAGAATACATATCACAGTTCTTAAATAATATTAATAAAAATCCCTAGTTCCGATTAAATATGTAGTATGATCCACATACTTTGAGTACTATACGGTGCAACATAGAGCGTCATTTTGATGCAGTTACTACTAGGTTAGGCAACACATTTTTCCAAAATGTTAAACTGGTAGCCTACATCTTGGTATTTTGAGATTTTAAATGAAGGCAACAAATATAGAAGAAACATTTATTTATTTAAAATAATATACAAGAAACTTCTTTAAAGTAAAGTTATAATAGCGAATGCATCTTGAAATAGAGGTGAATGGTTTTAAATTATTTCTAAAGCTGTGCATATGATTTTACCATAATATTATGATAATTTTCGCCCATGCCAATGAAAAAACATTTTATTTTCGTAATGTAATAAAAATCGTTGAGGTTAAACAATCTAATATTATATTTTGCATTTTTCAGCTGTAAATATGGTACGAAACTATAAAATAAAAACAAAGAAAGGTGAGATTAAAGAAGCTCTAACTAAAAGATATTGCCAGAGGAATATACTCTTGCAGGAAGCTTCAACTATTTAACAGATGCAAAAGATGTAGTGTTCATCTACAAATGAGTCTTCTTTCAGTAAGAAATTGCTGAATATTTTCTATTCAAGAAAATACCACTATGGGTATTACTGCCACCACCTTCACCAATATTCTCGTTTTCAAAGATTACACAAGTATGTTAATTGTATTAACATTAGATTGCCGGTGTACATTTTCAAAACTCTTGCATATCTCCCTACTTTCTGCTTCTATAGCAATTGATGGTCTAACTATGCTTTTCTTAGTCCGTCGACTTAATATTGTAAAAAGGATGTCGACATATGGTGGCTCTAAAAGACGTTTTTGTTACTTTTATAATTCCTGTGCATGTCTAACGTACAAAATCAATGTACCTGGATCAGTGGTACTTCTGCTTCTCAGAAATTTCCATTTATCCGAAATTGTTACACAGTTTACTGTACCAAATAGAAAATTAAATATTACAGGTCATTTTCTAACTGTTCCAGATAAACTATTTAGCAGAGGGGGCTTTTTTCTTAGTGAGGCTGTGGGCTACCTCTACCTGAAATAAATAAAAACAATTATTATAATATAAATGTTCCAAAAAGTAAACAATATTACTTACATGTTTATTTATATTATTTCGTTTGATTTTAATATACTGCTCCTATCTGTTGAAGTAAATGTTTCAATTTTCTTGGCATTTGCCTTCTACAAAGAATTGTTTCATGATTGATCACACCTTTTTACATAAGAGCAATAAGCATTTTCAAGAACAGACATAACAGAGTTTAGCTAAAAATAATTTCTTAACAATTTGATCAATGGTTTGTAAACACTGTTCAAGTTAAGTGCTCGAAATTCGTAGGAGACCTGAAAAATTGCTCCTCCATTTGTTGATCCAAGTTTTATTCCTCAGCTAGTAAATAATAGGGAATTGGGAAATAAAAATAATCTTTATTCAAAAATAACTTTAACTGAATTAGAATTAGCAATTAAAACCACTTGTAACACAGCTCCTGGAAAAGATAGCTTTTCTTATTCTTTGATTAGAAATTTACCAGACAATTCAAAAAGTGTCTTAGTTGAAATTTATAATCAATGGTGGTTACAAGGACTTCTTCCTGAATCTTTTAAAGAAGTGGTAATTATATTTATTATTAAACCAATGAGAAACCCTAGCGATCCATCGTCCTACCGTCCAATTTCTATGTTATCGTGTTTTGCTAAAACTTTTGAGAGAATTATTAAACGTCGTTTAGAATGGTATTTTGAACATAACTCTCTGTTACCTAGTTCCCAGTACGGATTTCGTAAGTCTAAAGGTACTTTAGATGCCTGTACTCAGTTAGTTAATGATATTCAGTATTTATTCTCAAAAAATGAATACACAGCATGTATTTTTTTAGATCTTAAAGGGGCATATGACGCAGTTGATTTGAACATCTTGCAAACAAAACTCTCCCATTACGGTTTTGATACAAACGCCTCTGCCAATATTATTGAGTTATTTCGAAACAGAAAAGTATATATCAGAGATCACTATAACCTTCTGCATGGCCCTAGAATTGTCAACCAGGGTATTCCTCAAGGATCCGTTCTGAGTCCCTTTCTTTTCAATATTTACACGGCAAGCTTGCATGAGATCTTTGATCAACCGATTAAGTGTATTCAGTACGCGGATGATTTATGTATTTATACGGGGTAAGTCTTATCACGATTGTGTTGTAGATCTTAAATATGTCATATATTGCCTTACAAGCTGGTTATTTGATCATGGTTTCTCTTTGGCTGCAAATAAATCAGCTGTGATGGTTTATACCCGTCACAGGCTAATAACAGGAGAAGTCATTAAGTTTAATTCAATATCTCTTCCAATAGTAAGTTCCTTCAAATACTTAGGAATTGTCTTAGACAATAAGCTTACATGGAAAAAACATATTGATTATACTTTATCCAAATGTCGTTAATGTTTTATAAATCTTACATCCGATGAATCATCGACTATGGGTGTATATTATATGGATCAGCTACGAACTCGAGCCTTAAGTTATTAGATTGTATGCAAGTTAAAGCAGTCAAAATATGTCTCGGTGCTTTTAAATCTTCCCCTACTCCAGCGGTTCTTGCGGAAGCACAAGAGCCTCCTCTTCACTTACGAAGACATTTTCTAGCATGCAAAAAGTTAGTTACATTTAAAATGTTTTCGGAAAAAATTCTAAATTCTTCCTTTATCCTGAATATTGAAAACTTAACCAACAAATATTGGAAATTTAAAAATAGTCCACCTTTGGCTGAAGCCTGTGTATCTTTAAACCAGTTTTTAAATAAAATTGAGTCTTACGATATTCTTCCTATATACCAGTTTAATTTTTTCTCCTTATTGTTCAAGCCAACAATCTTATTCCCTGAGTTTACTTCTTCCCCTAAAATTAATAACATAATCATAAAATCGGTATTGGGAACAGTTAATACTATTTTTTGCGATGGGTCTAAAGGAAAACAAGGTACAGGATGCGCTTTTTATGTGGAAAATGAAAACTTTATTTCCCAATTTCATTTACCAAATTATTCATCTGTTTATACAGCGGAGGCTTTTGCAATTTTACAAGCACTCAATTGGATAAAAAGCTATGGAGAAAACAAATCGGTTATTCTTTCAGACTCGAAATCTGTTTTACTTTCAATTTCTAACTATTCCTGTAATATTAACAAAAATCCTATTATAAGAGAAATTATTCAGTCACTCCTTACTCTTCATAATTCTAAAATCAAGATCGTTTTTATCTGGGTTAAAAGTCATAAAGGGAAAGTTGGAAATGAAAAAGTCGATTTAGCTGCTAAAGAATCCATTCTTCTTCCAACTATTAGTAATATTCATTCTCCGCAGGATATTATTCATGCAATGAAACGAAATATTAGATCAAGCTGGGAGAAACTTTGGGAACACTTTGTTTCTCATTCAAATAACCCATATACATTTATTCACACTGTTCTTCCAAAATCTATTCCCCACATTACAAATTTTAAAATGTCTGGGTATTATTGTACCACTTTAACAAGGATGAAACTAAATCATGGGGGTTTTCCGTCTCACCTTTCCAGAATTCGTATTAATATATCACCTTTCTGTCAATGCGACAATTCTTCTTTTGCTGATATCAACCATCTCATTACCATAATTCTCATCGTTCATATTTTCTTAAAAAACTTTCTTCCCTGAATATCCTTTTTCCATCAAATATTTATATTTTATTAAGTTCATTTAATGAGAAAATATATAACTTAATTACTGAATTTTTAATTAAAGAAAATATTAAAATATAAATAAATAAACAAAAAATTATTCGATTTACAAAAGTCTGTGGCAACAAACACTACGTTTAGATGCCAATTCTCAAAAAAAAAAAAATACAACAATGATGTGACAGGCTTCTGGTTCACCTACAGTGAATCAGCGAGTCTGTGTGGCGCTATAATGGTGATTCCCGAATAGGGGTTGCTCAGGCTCCAGTTTTGGTATCGCAGTTTGCTCTGCGACCCTGTAGTACACCAGAGTGTACTTAAGGTAAACTCAGTGGAGGTAAAAATAATTCCAGGTGGTCACTGCTAGGTAGCCACTATACTAGAATAAATAAAAATGAAACACTTATCTCCTTTCCACCTCGTACCTTACGGTACCCTGAAAGAGAACGGTTAAGAACCAGCAATAAGAGAAACACAGGAGTAGGTAATAAAATATATATTTACAAAAAAATATAACGGTGCTAGTGCACGGTTCTAGCACGGCAGTAAACAGAAAATTAAATAAAATGAATAATTACAATTAAACGAGATTACAAGAAAGTAATTACGGATCCCTATATACAGAAAAAAAAATTAAAAGTAAATTATTACAATTGCAGCTAGTTAAATACTAACGGCTCCCGGTATTCAGAAGGTTTACTAAAAATAAATTATTATATTTGAAAACTAGTCAAATCTTAATGGCTCCCTATATTCGAAAAAATTATTAAAAATAAACTATTACACTTGAAAACTATTTAAATATTGAGAGATATTTACGGTTCGCTAGCACAGGAGGCTAAACGGTCCGGGAATTATGAAACTCCCTGTATTCGGAAAATTTATTAAAAATAAATTAATACACTTGAAAACAATTTAAATGTTGAGAAATAATTACGGTTCGCTAGCACAGGAGGCTAAGCGGTCCGGGAATTATGAAACTCCCTGTATACGGAAAATTTATTAAAAATAAATTATTATAATCGAAAACTATTTAAATTGGAAATTATGTACAACCCGGTATATGGAAGGTATGTTTTTCCAAAATCACGAAATTAAATTAAATATTCTGGTCAAAATAGTAAAACGAAAAAACGGTAATTAATTAAAACGGAGTAATTAATTTTTTTAACAAACGGTTACCAACTGGGAAGTTCATAAAAAATGAAAGAAAACGGGTAGTTACGACACTCCCTGTATACGGAAAATAAAGTTTGCTATTACCACCATTAACCCACCTACAATGTACGTTCAGAAAAGGAAAACCTACTATATAATGGAACAAAGTTTTCAGAACCCCCTTATATCTTATGGGAATTTACATGGTGTTTGGACAGCGTAGGCGACGATGGTATAAAAGAATATTTTGAGATTTGCCCAAAGTCGATCGAGATGGTGTGTGAATTAATTTTACAGAAATCGTTTGGCTTCGTTCAATAATTAATTGTGGACAGGGAACGGAATGATTCAAATACGGCTGAATGAATAAATAAAAGAAAAGAAACTTACATGAAGTGAAGCGCGAAAATTAATTTAGACGTCTTTTTGGGAAATTAGATAACTTCGTCAGGACAGAGATCACTCTTAACCCGGGGACGGATCGAATCTCCGAAAAAGAAAATAACGGACCGGCTTTCCCAAAAGTAATAAAATAAAAAAAAATTAAAAACAGGTTGAACCTCTCACTTCAATGTTAACTGGGCGCTTTCTAAGAGAGATTGGATATAGTCGTTGACAATGAGAGCACTCAGAGTCTAGCCCATGTCCAGCCTCAAATAAAAAATTGCCAACGGTTTCCCACTGAGGGATGAAATGAAATATCCTGGATATGAATCAAAATTTTTCACTTGTCGCACGAATGTCCCAACTAATTATGTAAAAAGAAAATAATATGCGGTTTCCTACCTTAGAAAATAAACGGGGTTATTCAATAATCTTTCGAAATCACGGCACTCGCAGAGTATTTCACTCGACACTGCAGAAGAGGGAATAGTTTTCGGCTGCCGGCAATCAAGAGGGCATAATTCCCAGATGTGATCAAATTTATGCTTTTCGGTAAGCCTGAGTGGGGGATACCACTACTATAGCCAACTGTTTACAATTTAAAAAATAAAAAAATGTCCTTCTAGTACCTTGACCAATAAAGGTAGATAATTGGTACGAAATCGACTCTACAAAATGCCCATTCGGATTTCGGCAAATATAAGATAATTTTAATCTACGAGGGTACTCGCACTTGTTGAAAAACGGTAATACCTGGGAAACAGAAATACGGGGAATCTTCTACATGTCCTCAGGCGGGAATTAATTGAAATATACATTTTTAAAATTAATTAAAAATAAAATTTAGTGACTTCGTCACAATAGGAACATAATTAAAGTAGTTACTGTTACTTACAAATGGAAAGATTTAACATAAAATTACTAAGTAAAGCAAGGTTTTCAAGATATTCATTATTTGTTAATGGTTTTGTAAAGTGTAGGTTCGTAAGTAATATATTTGGCCACTAAAACTATTGCGCCAAGATGTAGTCAACACGTAATAAGTGTTCAAAATGGCGGAGTTTTCAATCTCCTTTTAAAAGGCACTCAGAAAGCTGCGCAGTGCGACCATTCTAAATACTTTTGAGGGTATTTAAAATACGTGCCACAGAGCGGGAAAAGGGGGGTAATACCTATGATCTTTTCGAACAAGGCGTTTCATATAATTGAGATCGAACTTCACTTCAGGTAAGTTCCTTTGATCTTTCAATTATTTCCTGGACTATTTCTTGATAGATCTCTATAAATATGACGACGTGCGTCTGGTTCAGATAGAAACAGGCATTGTTACAAAAAAAATACAAAAAATAACTTACCTTCTTTTTCTCCTCATAAAGTAATATGTAGCTCCAAAAAATTTCCCAGCTTTTAAATAAAATGTTAACAGTTTAAAATCTATATTCGGTTTTCTAGGTATAACATAGGAATCCTTGTTCTGAAACAATTTTTCTACAAAAATAACTCGAGTCTTTTTAATGCTCATATTTTTTCTCCCACAACTTAAAATCTAAAACCTAAAAATCAACTGTGGCGGGGTATTATTTTAAACGTAATGTTCATGGTCGCATGTTTAATTTAAATTGTTTATTTACAAAGCTGAATTGCCTTTTTGGTTAAATATTAACCGTGCATGCCCCGGTAGGTACATATTTAGATTGAAACTGATTTTAAAATACTTAAAATGAAAAAACTGATATTCGGTAAAAACGAAATGACGTACCAGATGTATTAAAAAATAATTAAGTAATAATTAAAGTAGATAATATCCATGTGGGTGTAATAAGTATTGTATGACACACGTGTATAATGAGTGTTTTTCTGAAGTTGTCAATTATTGCCCATATTGTACTGCACAATAATAACCAAATACGTAAAAATAGATGAGAAAAATGTCGTCAGACATGATTGGTTAACGTTAAAAAATCCACCAGCAGAAAAAATCGGATTCCATTCTTCTTCGTATTTGACCAACACAAGTAATTGTTTTTTAACTTCTTCGTCATCGATTATTTCGTGTAACCAGTAGCATGTTTTTGACAATTGATTACTCGCTTTTTCTACAGCGTCACATGACATCGTAACCAGCACCATAACAAACTAAAATAAAAAAAAGAAATATATTATAGTGCGAGCCACTAACAAGCAGTCGGATCACGCTTTAATCCATCACTATTAAAAGCTGTTAGTATAGTAATTCGCATAGAAAATTCAGATGTAGTAATAAGATAACCCTTACGACAATTAATTTTTAGCTTTCGTTAAAACTTCATAAGTATTAATCACGTAATATGAAACTGGACTTGTTTATCTGGTAGTGTCTGTATATGAAATTACGTTATATTTGGTGAGTATTATTTGCAATCTCTTATGAATATTCAGTCGTAATTCATGTATAAAATACTTTATTTTAGGATATCACTTATCTGTACTCCGGAACGTGTGCTTCCAATATGGGCTCAAAATGTGTCCACATCAAATTTACCATTAAATGTGGGTCCTTTCCTCGAAAATTCCAGTCTGCATTTCCATCGGATACCACTTTTTTTTCCTTTCTATACGAATTACTATACTAACAGCTTATCTTTAATATTCGGTTGTAAAAAAATTTATTTTAAAATGCTTATACCTGATTTTGGTTCATGATTTTGTTCAATTTAAATTTAATTACTTCAATTTTCTTTTTTAGGTGATCTCAAATCAAAATGTCTACCCCTGAACTCTAAAATTGTTGATCTCCCTTGACAACCTGTATCTAAGGACTGAGAACAAACGATTCTCCTCGTCGAAGTTCATTATTTTGGTATTTCTATATAGGTATTATTTATTATTAGTTTTACAACACATATCTAGTTTCATATTGTAAAATTAACATGTTGTTCTTAATTATCTTACTTTGTCAAATTTTGCATACATATTTATTATTTCTTTAATCAGCTGTCTTGTTTTGTTTTTTACTTGTCAAAATTGATTCAAATTGATTCATATTATACAGGGTTGTTCATTTATACTTGATATTATTTGATAAATCTGTTTACTCTTTTATCAGCTGTATTGTTTTAATTTTACTTGTCAAAATAGATTCAAATTGATTCATATTATACAGGGTTGTTCATTTATACTTGATATTATTTGATAAATCTGTTTACTCTATTATCAGCTGTATTGTTTTAATTTTACTTGTCAAAATAGATTCAAATTGATTCATATTATACAGGGTTGTTCATTTATACTTGATATTATTTGGTAAATTTGTTTTTTCTTATTATTAGCCGTACTGTTTTAAGTTTAATGGTCAAAATTGATTCGAATAGTTTATTAGGATACAGGGTTGTTTATTATTATTTTACATAGTTATAAGAATAGGCCTCCTGAGTTTAAGAATAGGGTACCAGGAAACGTTTGTTAGATTTAAAAATGTACTGTCGAAGAGGTGGCGCCATCTAAGGTGGTGGTAACCAGACATTTGCAATTCCAGACATACGTTTTATTAAACTGATCGTCTTTCGTATTTGTTGACATTATGAGGTAGAAATTTAAAGTGACGTCTTGAATTACTTCGAATAATGCGAAGTTTCTAACTGATTATATCGTATAAAAAGTTGAGTTGGGTCTTAATCTATAATATATAACTTACTTACCAAATTGCATACAGATGTCATTATGAATAACACGAGTTCTATACCTCTTATATCCGAATAATCCAATGTAGCCGAAATATTAACCAATATCTGAAGGATACTAACAATGAAATTCAAAAATAATATTCCTCCATACAAATTATTCGTTATTTTGACAATGCTGTCTGCCAATTTCAATGATACAGCGATTCTTCTTATAACGACGAATTTATAGTATTTATCAACTACCAATTTCAAATATTCTGCCATCGATTTGTAGCGATATTCTAACCAATTCGATAAGAGAATGTAATATAATGAAATTAGAATCTTGTATACGCTGTTGGCACACCCTTGAAATACCACAGCTCGAATTGTTAAGGTTTCTGCACCGATGAAGTTTTGCACGTACCACAAGCTGAAATAGAAATGTCAAAATATCAAGAATTTGCTTTTTGAAGGAGTTCTTTGACGGAGAAAAAATTACTAAACCCTTTAGAATATACTCTAACCAAATCTAATTACCTACCTTTAAGCGAAAAACTGTAAGTAAGAACCCTTCACTCTTAAAAATCTGTCCAAAAATTCCAAAAATTAGCGTATCAGAACACTGAGTCAACGATATCGTTTTTCGATATAGGCCAAAATAGACTTTTTCGGCCGCTCATTTGAGCGACCAAATAAATATGCAGGGTGAATCCTAAGTTGATACTGTTTTTTAATTTTGTACGTATAGAAGTCATTAGAGTAAACAACTTTTTCCAATTATTTTTTCAAAAAACTCCAAAATAAAAAAACTTAGTCTAAACTGTATCCAATACGGTCCTGCCTAACTGAAATAATAGGTTTGTTCCAACACCATAGGCTCTGGTTGGAGCTTCCTGGACTTAGACAGTCCAAAAGATTCATCCAAGAGCAGACAAAATTAAGGTGATTACAGCACCCCCTTATAATTTTCGGACAAAGATATCTCAAAAAGTATTTTTTTTTAGAAAACTTAAATTTGGGCGAAATAAATAAGGCAATAATATCTAGAATATGCATATTTTTTAAAGTTTTAATTCCTTCCAGTTTCCGAGAAAAAAAATGAAAGGGCTTTAAATTTTGAAATATCATAATGAAAATAAATGCATTCCTCAACAGCACTATTCTTAATACAATCCCTAAATTTAAGCTCTTAATCTTTTGTTAATGATTTTTTAAAATTTGCCGAAATTAGTGGCTAAAACGCCTCGTTAAGTGCTATTTTCTGGTTTAAACTGGTGTAAACTGGTGTAAATCGTTGCAAGAAACGAATGATGACTCAGAGTGTCCGAAACGATAGTTACAGACGCGTTACACTAGAAAGAAGCACTTAACGAGGCGTTTTAGCCACTAATTTCGGCGAATTTTAAAAAATCATTAACAAGAGATTAAGAGCTTAAATTTGGAGATTATATTAAGAATAGTGCTGTTGAGGAATGCATTTATTTTCATTATGATATTTCAAAATTTAAAGCCCTTTGATTTTTTTTCTCGGAAACTGAAAGGAATTAAAATTTTAAAATATATGCATATTTTAGATATTATTGCCTAATATATTTTGCCAAAATTTTAATTTTTTAAAAAAATTACTTTTTGAGATATCCTTGTCTGAAAATTATAAGGGGGTGCTGTAATCACCTGAACTGCTAAACCTTAGCAGAAGCGAAGTTAAGGCCGTTATAGAACTCTTTACGGGAACACTGCGGCCTTAGAAAACACCAAACTCTCTTAGATATATCTAATGACTCCCTATGTAGAATATATGAAGAGGAGGACGAAACTGCTATTCACATACTATACTACTGTCCGAACTATTATTTTTACAGTCTGTTCGCTATACTTACGCGGGTTTCGGATTAACAAAATTATGCAAATTAGTCATTGACAACCAGTTCCAATAAGCCTCTTCCCAAAAAATTAGATAAAATTGCCCCAATGGTCAGATTTAAATTAAAATAATATTAGGGTAGGTACTAAATTTGTTACAAATATTGCAGTTGAATTGATTCTTTGCAAGTGTTGACATTGTATGTATATTGTAAATTTAGTGGAAATTTTAAAAATGCCTAGACGTGTGTTAGATGTAGATAGTCTAATTTGTAGTGTACATAAATATTTTACGGATGAAAAAGAAAATTGCGGTCCTTTAAAATCGGTAATGTCTGTACAACAACACGTATGCGATGCTATAGGAATTAGTGAAACCAAATTAAGAGGAGTATTACAAAATCACAATAGTGAATTACCGAAAGAAGATCACCCCAAAACTCGCCCATCATTGAAAACGAAAGAGATTCCAGATGGAAAGAAATTTGAAATTCGTGATACCATTTATCGAATGAGGGACAACAAGGAACATATGACCTTAAATACAATTCTCTCGGAATTAATAGATAGAAAATTTGACGACATTGGCAGAACAAGTCTATGGCAAGTGATACATAACGTGGGTTTCAAATTTCAAAAGGAGGATAACAAAAAGACCCTTTGTGAAAGAAGTTCTGTCGTGCACAAGAGAATTAACTTTCTAAGAAAATATTCTAAATTTAAAGAAGAAGGGGCAAATTTTATATATTTAGACGAAGCATGGATATTTTCTAGGGGTGCAACCAAGAGAATATGGCAAAATGATAACGTAAATTCCATCAAACATACCGATGGAGAAGGGAAGTGACACATAATTTTACATGCAGGAGGGAAATCGGGTTTTATAGAAGGTGCTGATTTAATATTTTCATCTAAATCAAAATCCAGTGATTATCACGATAATATGAACACAGAAATGTTTGTAAAATGGTTGCATAAAAAACTTCTCCCAGGTTTAAGTGAGCCCAGTGTAATTATTTTAGACAATGCACCGTACTATTCTGAAGTATTAAACGAAAGTCCAACGAATTCTTGGACTGTTGATAAAATTAAAGAATGGTTGACAAAGGAACATATACCATTTCCTCAATATATATTAAAATCAGAATTATTACGCTTGGCAAATATACACGCAAAACCAAAAACCTTTGTTGTGGATTAGATTATTGAAAGTTACGGTCATCAAGTTTTACGTTTGCCACCGTATCATTGCCAGTTGAATCCCATCGAATATATATGGGGAATAGCAAAACAATATTATGACAACCATATTGGGCCTAATGGTTATAGTGACGACGCAGTTCGAGAAACTTGGCAAAAAGCACTTTCAATTGCAACTCCAGAAGTGTGGCGGAACTGTATATCCAAGTGCGAGAAACTAATAGAAGATTAAGATTAATTAATAATAACAATTAATGGTGATGACAGTGATGATGACGATTATGCTATTTTGGATAATAAAAACTGATTTTCATTTTTGTTGGCAAGTTCAATTTTTTTATTTTTCATTTGAAATTTTCTACATGGAACAAATTTTTATGTTAGAAAATATTTAATTTGAGCTAAATAACTCTTTAATTATACATAGACCATATTTTCTGTGTGAAGTGTAATATAAAATTATTATTAGGTTTATAATAGCCATATTAGACTCCATTAATGAAGTAGTTTAATTCTGCTCTCAATTATACAAAAGATTCTCCATTATTATTTAAAAAAAGTTGTACATTATTTTTCATTTCATTTAACCAGTTGATATTTCCCCAAAGAACAGGTCAAACTTTCGGGTATTTATCTGGAAATACTCATAAAAATTTTAATCCGAAACCCGCGTAAGTATGGTCGTAACCCTAAATGGAAACGGGAATGGAACTTCGAGGTACAATATCCGGAAAGCACCCATCAGATATATTCTTGAATTCGTCAAGAAAATAATCAGATAGATAGGGAACAGAACAGTCTGTAATAAATAAATGCTACATCAAAAGTTTCCAATCGTCTAGATAAATTTGTACATTTACAACTAGAGTCGCCTCTATTACTCTGTTGTTTTAGTTTTACTTTTTTAATTACCAAATTCCTACCACATAAATCATTACTTATATCCGATTTCTGTAGTTTCATTTTCTATGTTCCATTATTATTGTTCATTATTTCATAGAAGTTTTCAGTTTTGACGCGAGACCTTTGTACATCTACATGTGCATCTAAGAACTATTTTTGCAGCTTTTTCTAGAGTAATTTTCTAGAGGGCCTTTTTTCTTTTGTTTCAGTTAGCTAATTTTAGCAGACTAGTAGCGTCGGTTTGAAATCCCCTCTATTTCCTAGTTTAAGATCTTTATCAACATTTCATTAGTAAAAAGTACTTACCTTATTCCCATTAAGGGCAAGAAAGAGCAAACCATAACGATTTTTAAGCTCACCAGCCACCAGTGATTGCTCTCGAAAGTTTCACATGTATTCAAAATGTTTTCGAGTGTAAATATTTTGTCGTAAAGCTTTTGCCAGTATTTCTTCTTTGTAAGCAACAACGAAAAAACGTAATATAAAAGGAACATTGTCGATGATATTCTCAACATGATCAATACAGCAATCATTGCAGGATGCGTTGTACGACCGTATTTAGCTTGTGAAATCAGATAAGACATAATTGTCATTATTATACTTATAAAAATACCAAAGATTTTAAAACAGAATGTGTTACATTTGTTATTCCTAAAACAAAACAGAACATAATTAAAGTTATTGAGACAGGTGCCTTGGAAGCAAATTGCACTATTTCGACATACAACAACTTATGCAAATTAAAGTAAAAGTTTTATTAGTTAGATTATTAAAAAAATACATAAATATTGTATCAATAAATAGGTGTATAAATACATTTCTTGTGGAAATATAATAAATCGTTACCTTAACATGTAAACCTTTTAACTCCATAGGTAATAATTTTACAGGAGAAGCAATAAATAATTAGACCATTAGGTCTTTATTAAAAGCTTTCTCTACATGTTAAGGTAACGAAATATGCAATTATGATGATCAAAAAGGGCTCAAACAACATTCAATCTGCTCTACTGAAAAGTTGACTAGAATGACAGTGCAGTTTACTTCCGAGGCACAGATATTTTATCAGAATAAGATCATAGATCATTAGTGTATTACGCAGCGATAGCACGTAACCAAAATATTTGGGTTCACAATGACAGAATATAGATCTCGGAAAAGATTTAGGTAAAAAACTTTCAGTGTTTTAGAAACACTCAAAGTTTTTTACCTAAATCTGTAGTAAAATCTATATTCTGTCATTTTTTGCTTACAAGCCGCCACTAGCATTAGGCATTCTAGAGAGCCATGAGCAAGCGGTCATTGTTAGTAACTCCGAGCAATTACTAATAGAGGGAGCGTGAAAACGAGTTTGTAGGCGATTGTTGTGTTAGCAACATCTGTAGAGAAGGTGAGGAAGCGGGCACAAGGGGGAAGGTAAACATCCTTCTTGCTCAGTGGCGTATCATTTATCTATAAAAACACACATTGTCCAAACGTTTTAATTGTAAAAAAACTAACAAATTTGCTAATTTTACTATTTTTAAAATGAATACCGTCTTATATGTGTCTAATGCAGGAAATGAAACAAAATCACTGTAAAGGTCTAATTTTTTCAATTGAAGAATAAAACCTTAAAATCAATTTTATTATAAATAATTACAGTAGCGACTAGTTTCGGCCTTACAGGAACATCTTCAGGCATGCAATACATTAATCTTTAAATATTATAATAGGTTGGTCACTTACGAATAACATTAAATAGTATAAACCACAAAAATGGATCCATATTGTAAGGTTACAGCATTATAGAATTAAAGCTGTGAAAATAAAAGAGCAATGCAAACGTAACTAAAAATAAGAAAACTGAGTACGGAATCCACAAGAAAAGAGGTGAGAATGAGCAATTACGAATGCATTTAAATTGCTCGGGATAACTAGTAAAGCTGATAATGTAGTGTTATAGTCCCCGTCAAAGAAGGTCTGGATATGTTAAAGAGGACGGCGTTTTCTCTGTAAATCTGGAGAATGTAAGGATGGAGGGAAGACAAATCTTGCTGGCTCAGGTGTAGATGGCTAGAAAAAGGAGCGTGTAGATGAAAACTCCAGTAAATATCGTCACTTTCGTCTAATTTTTTATTCTCACTCACCGTTTCGGCTTTATCTTCGAAATTCATTTTTAAAAGGAAATAAAAGAAATCATTCATACAAGCATATAATAAAACAACATGAATTCATTAAATTTAATAAGCTAATAAACGTTGGTTTCAATGAAAAAAACATATGGGAATATAAAAATATATAAATAGATAAGATTAATATCAAAATCAATTTGAAAATACAACAGATAATAAAATGAAATAAATTAATACAAGTACACATATAAAGTTAATAACATACCTTCTAAAAGTAACACATTTTAAGTAGATAAATGTTTAAAGAGTTTATTCCTGAACATAACTAATCTAACGTTTTCCCCTTTTTAATATTATGAGGGTTTTTGTAGTTGAAATGAAAATTATAATTTATTTTGGTCCTAATAAAAATTTAAACATAGGTTATCAAAGAGTAAAATACATAATAGAACTTCATAATCTTAAATCGTTATCAAAAATTATTAATGGTAAAACTTCAAACAGTAATTGGATTCTTAAACAAATTTCTAGTTTTTGTTTTGCAAAATACTTTTTTGCCTTCTTCGGTTGCCTCTGCCACTTTTCTTTTACTAGTTTAGAGGAGAATTTTCCTATGGAAACCAGTAGAACCATCAATTGGTTGGTAACATTTTGATATTTTGGGTCTGGTAAGTCTTGTTAAACTTTCTTCTTAGGAAGCTGTAACCTTATGGAGAATAAAAATTTAATGTTAGATCAGAAGCTCTTAATTGAGAATTATATTTGCAAAGGCCGTTTTAATAATATTTTCAAAAGTTCTTGGAATCGTTGTTAACAGAAACCTGCAAAAAAATATATCATTTTATTTCTAAAATATAAAATATCACACAATGCACATTCATATAATATCATTGTGCTAGAAAAATACTAGGTAGGTACTGAGACAATTTAAAAAAAGTATTTCGAGAAACTTAAAAACTTTTAATGTCATCATTGTACTTAACTTTTTTATTCCTAAATTATTAATAATGTCATTTTGTGTAGTTCGTTGTGATTTGTATAATATATATTATAAAAACCTATCGTCAATGTTAATGTGCCAAGTTTTTTTTAAAAATTATGTCTTTGTTATAATAAAAACACATTTTTAAAGTTTTCTGGATTTCTCCTTTACATTATCGTATTTGAACTGACTAATTGTGTGTTTAAGTAAAGGTATATCTCTTTTTTGTTATAACAGTCTTTGTATATTGTTCTAACTTTTTAGATAATCAGAGAAAACAGTAGGACATCTTAATATATCCTATTTCACCAACAAAAATGTAGAATAATTAATTTCACATTAAACGAAAAAAGTCATTTTAGGATGTCCTAATAGGTTTTAACTTAAAAACTAAATAAAATGTATATTGTAACTGTGTTTAAATAAATGAATGTTTTTATACCTGGCTATAGCACCAGACAAACATTTTTTTAGATCATAATGATCTGCATAACTCAAAATAGTCAAAATCCACATTATTTAAGTTCTAGTATTGTTTTAGCATAACGATGTAAACTCCAATAATAAATATTCACATTTTTTTGGTACGTTTTTTAAGGAAATTAAAAAAAAACATGAATAATGTGATATTCTTGTTTAGTTTGTACTATACCTATAATATAGTTCATTAGGTAGTGATTTAGAAGCAAATTATGTTCTATTTATAGAATAAAAAATCACTCATAATATCTAAATATTTATACCTATTTATATTTTGGACAGGAAGACTATTTTATGTTTTTGGCTCTGAATAGTTTTCTTAAGAATTTTAAAACCTTCCTTAGCTCTTTTGGGATATTCCATGCATATCTTAGAAGTTCATTTTGTTTAAACCTAAAACAAATTAAGTACCAAAAATTAAAATTTAAACAATACACAAAGTTAGTCTTTTAGATTAGTTAAAAAAAGTGTCAACAAAAAAATGGCTATGCCTTTTTCCTTAAACATTCTTTTTGAAAGAAACTTCTTTCGTCGAAATTGCATTTTTTTAAATATTTTCGTCCCCTGAGGTCTGTAATAAAAATGTTCATTAGCATAAAAAGTTATTCATGTGGTTACTTGTTGAATTCCTATATTTTGGAACTATGTATTTCTTTCTCATATCAAGAAAAGTAAACCTAAAAAAAATAACAATCAACTTTAGAAAGATTTGATATTAAAATATTAATAAGTAATTAACCTTTGCTATAATCATTATGAGACGGATGAAGACGAACTTAGCTGGAGTTTACTTGCTCTTAATTTTAATTTTTCGATAAAAAATAAGAAAGTTTAATTGCAAATTAAAGGTGATTGCCTAATGCACCGCCTCTGATAATTAGGTTGTGTCTGTACTTACTTATATTATCTTGAAGAAGCATTTTCAACAGGCCTTTTACACATAAAGCATGTTTTCACCATATTATTAGAGATAATAAATCTTAAATATACATTTACAACCCTTACAACGTTATAAATAATAATATTTTCCGTAAACTACAAATAAGAAATTGACATGTGTCAGAAAGTGTCAGAAAATCAAAGTATGTGGTCAGAACACTCCGAACTGGCGCTGTCAAACTTGGCAACGCTGATTAAATAAGCCAATTACAGAAGAGGTATTTTCCCCCTCGGGGGGAGTAGATGTTGCTTACAAAATTTAGCGCGGGGAAGGGGGGAAGACTCCCTCTAGTAGTAATTGCTCGGAGGTTAGTAATGCATTGAAACAAGACTGAAAATTTTTAGATCTATAATGTATTAACAGTTGAATAAGGAAATAATGATCTGGCTCGAATACACCTACATTCAAAATTATGAAAATGTAAAAAAAATAAATCATCAACATTATCCCATTTATATTATAGCAACAACTAGAATTCTACATTTATTTTAAAAATAAACTGAAATAAAAATATCGACTGTATTTATCTAAAATTAATCTTAGTAGATCATGATTAATATCACATAAGTTTGGCACATGATTGAAGTTAGAAAGAATATTAGTTCTTGCATTGTCTGAGTAAAACGTAGTAATTCTAGAGTTAATTCTATGAACATAAAAATTCACTTGATGAAGAAGAATTTGTGAATAAATAGAATTTTGTAACAATTTATAGAGGAACGTCAGCACTATATGAATTCTTTTTAGTTGTAAGAAATGGACATTGAAACGATGTACCAAAATAGATTGGTCAATACCTGTGACAGGATAAATTCCATCAAGCTTTCTAGATAAGAATTTAAGAAACTTTCGTTGAACTTCTTTTATTGAATTTATATGTACTTGATACTGTGGATCCCAAACAATTGATGCGTATTCAAGTTTAGATCTTAGCAGAAAATAGCGTTTTCAGAGCAATTTCGTGACAAAAAGTTCTACAATTTCTTATAATAAACGCTGTGGAGCCTAATCGTAGACGAACTTCTATGCAGATTGACTTATCTCGGCATACCCTGTCAAGGTTATGCCGACGACATAGTCATATTTGGTAGAGGCAAGTTTAGTAATATCCTGTGTGATATGGTCCAACGAGGACTAGAACATACCAAAAGATGGTGCCGTGAAGTGGGACTTAGTATAAACCCTACAAAAACAACACTAGGCCTTTTCAAGGAAAAGAAAACTTAATCTCAAAACCGTTAAATTAGACGGGATAGATATAGAATGGAAAAATGAAGTCAAATATCTAGGCCTAACCCTGGACAACAAACTTCTCTGGAACACACATGAGAAGGAAGTAGTAAATAAGGCCACAAAAGCCCTAATAGTATGCAGAACCATTGCAGGCAAACGATGGGTCCAAACATACTGCCATGGGGGCTATAGTTTGAAATAACAGAACTAGTTTAGCTACTACGAGACTAGCCTGTGTTTGCATTACTGGTGCAATGAGAACCTGTCCTACGGCCGCACCCTTCTACATTTGATAGAGAATATGGCAAAAAGGGCACGATATAGAATGATCAGGAACGGAGTAATCAGACGAAAGTCTACTTGCTTCAGGACTAAAGATATACCTCAGGATGCAATGCTAAAGAGGTACATTTTTGTGAAAAACTTCAAAACCACAGAGCTGGGATGCAAGAAAGAATGGAGCCAAGAATCCATCGCGCTTGCAACCGAAAGACGTGCTATCCAGTGGTATACGGACGGTTCCAAAACCATAGAAGGAACTGGAATAGGAGTGTATGGGCCGAGAACCAAGCACTCCGAAAGCTTGGGAAAATACCCAAGCATCTTCCAGGCGGAAATTCACGCCATCGAGAAGTGTATCCAGTTTAACATCGAGAGAAACTATCATAGACAAGCACCCATCAAAGCGCTGATCTCTTACGTAATCAGCTCAAAAATGGTCTGAAGATGCCTAGAACAATTGAATGAGTCACTGAGTCACTTTTACTTGGGTGCCGGGACATAACGGGGTACAGGGTAACGAGATTGAAGATAGTCTTGCAAGGAAAGGGACTCAAACATCCTTTGTAGGACCTGAGCCATTCTGCGGTATCAGCAGTAACATAACTTTAGGAGAGATTAAAAAAGAATTGGGCAGTAGAAGAACTGATAATTGGAACAATCTCTTGGGGCTGAGACAGGCCAAGATACTTCTGGGTGAATATAACCAGAAAAGATCGGAAGCCTGCATCTGCCTGAGCAAGAACATGCTACGTATTGTAACAGGGATCCTTACCGGGCATTGCCGACTAAATGCAAATTTTTGAAATGTTGTAGCATTTAATATGATTTACTTCTGAGTTGTTAGCGATAATTTGTGTTGAAATATAAACAGTTTCAAAATAATTTGCAAAATCTTCAACAATAGTACCTGTAGTAAAAACAATTTCATTCAGATAGTTTTTATAAGTTTCTTGCACTTGACTTTAATTAATCTAAACCGTTTGTAATAAAATTCTTTGATCCTAATATTTTGAATTATGTTTGAAAGTATACCAGGAAGGATATTTGCGATTATGATTTTTATATTTTGGAACATACATGTCTAAAATATAGTAAATTTTTGATAGAAAACCTCATACATTTTATTTACATCCTCAATATTATCTAAAAATAATCAATCCACATAGGAAAAGGCATTGTAGAAACCAGGAAATTATACATTTGGGGATCTGAACTGAGAGCAAAATGGACAAAGCTGGATGACTGGATATTCAGTGTTACCCTTAAGGATGGGTGCGATGGTATTTTCTATCAATAAGAGGTGAATAATTACGACCTGTGTTGAACGAAGTGAGATTCTCAGTAACAATGACAAGATCTTGTATCCTTTCTAACGAATTTTTACATTATTTATTTGAGAAGTATTAGTAAAATCCTATAGCAAAAATCATCTAGGTTTTTCGTAACATAATTGGCAAAACTAAAGTCTCCTAATTTAAGATTTTTTCCAGATGTATTACAATTTGACTTAATTTGTCTAGAAACAGCTCATATTCTAGATAAGAAGTGAATGGAGGTACATAAAAAAAATAATTAAAAAGTACTATGTGACACATGAAATTTTACTCCTACAATATCAATATTAACAAATTGTTCATAAAAATGATTGAGGTTCAAAGCTTTATATAAATATGACAGTGTAAGTCTGGTACAGATAGACAGGTATTGCTAAATACGAAATAGTTATTTATGAAACCAATTACGAAATGCCTTATTTTAGGTACCGAGTGAATATTTGCGAGACGAGCAGAGCGAGGTCTCGCAACAAGAACAAGTTACATAAAATGGCATTTCGTAACGTGTTACATACAATATTTTATCCAATTTTGACTAAATTATTTATAAAATTGGGCATTTAGGCAACCAATATTACTACTTTTGTGTATTGTTTGTTGCATATGATTAACTTCATTATTTAATTAACAAATAGGAAATCATATTCATTTGTTCTCAATGACTTATTATATTGCTTGTTAAAGTTATTTAGACTTCAAGAAAGTGGGTTATTTTGTCATGTATTGGGTTTTAATTATATTGTGCCTGATTTAGAATGGAAAATAAGGACCAAAACAACATTATTAGTTGTAAGTTTAACAAAGTCAACTTGCGCTTTTTTAATAATGATGTATATTAGTGATTTTAAAATGAAAAAAGGTTTATTTTAATTTTTTTCTTTTCGCAACTGGTAATATAATGACTTTTTCGAAACCAGTTTCGTAATGTTCAACTTTATGCAACTTTATTAGTTGCATATAATAAATTATTTTGACAATTGCTGCAATTACAAAAAATGTCACTTTATATGTCAAAATAAGAAAAAACTTTACCTTCTTTTTTCCGCCATAAAATAATATGAAACTCCAAAGATTTTTCCAGCTTTTAAATACAATGTTAATAGTTTAAAATCTATATTCACTTTTCTTGGTGTCACATTCTTATTCTGAAACAATTTGTCTACAAAAATAACTCGAGTCTTTTTAATATTCATATTAATTCTCTTACTCTCTAAAAACCGATTATTAGCTGTAGCGAGATTTTATTTTAAAAGTAATGTTGATAGTCGCATGTTTAATTTAAATGATTTATTTTCAAAGTACTTCTGCCTTGTTTGTTAAATAACCGTTGTATTTAGAGTGAAATTGTTTTTAAACTACCCCAAATAAAAAAAAACAACGATATTCAATAAAAATGTAATAACGTATTGGAAAATAATTAATAAGCGTATAGTTTGGATAAAAATATTTTCTACAAATTTTTTCACGGGTCGACAATGAGAGGTCGAAAATATATTATCGTAAAGTAAAATTTTTCTATACACTTCAAATGAGCTGCTGGAAAATTATTTTACTTTTAGACCGAAAGACTTAAGCAACAACTTCTAAAAATATCCTGTTTAACAATACTGTTGGCTTTAATTATTTTTAAATTTTAAAATATATATCAAATTCGAATACATTGAATACAGAGATTTTTAATTGAATAAGAGAAAAATTAAATAAATTTCATTATAATTAAATTGATTTAACATAAGCACACTGAGATGACAGCAGTTGTTCAATTATTATTAAGAATGTCTATTCCTATTAAGCATTCAACAAAATGGTTGCTCGTAGGTAATGACAGGCGCATAATAGGTTGTGATATGACCACATATCAAAGTATGTGGATATGACAATCACATACTTTGATTACTATACGGTGCAAGAGAGACGTCCGACACGCCCGACATAGGGCGCGGCCATTTTGATGCCTTTACTACTAGGTTAGGCAGCACATATTTTTCCAAAATGTTAAACTGGTAGCCTACATCTTGATATTTTGAGATTTTAAATGAAGTCAATAAATGTAGAAGAAACGTTTATTTATTTTAAGAAACTTCGAGTACATCTTGAAATAGAGGTGAGTGGTTTTAAATTTCTAAAGCTGCGCATAGGATTTCACCACGATGCTTTGTAAAAATCGATAATGGTATGGCAAGCAGTGGTCATATGTTGTGTTACGAGGGGTTATGGAGAAGTTGTTGTTAAATTTAAATTTAAAATTCATTTCACGTAACAACTAATTGAACTATTTATTAACCACAGGTGACTAATTTTAGAAATCTTGTTTTACTTACTATAATTAAACATTTTACCTGTCCCACACAGTATAAAACTTTTTATTTGCGGTAAGTACAAGTTTGCTAACGGTTAGTGCATTTTTCCGTACGTTTTTGTTACTTTTATAATTCTTGTGTATGTTTAACGTACAAAATTAATATACCTGGATCAGTGATACTTATGCTTTTCAGAAATTTCCATTTATCTGAAATTGTTACACGGTTTATTGTATTAAATAAAAAAATTAAATATTACAGGTCATTTTATAACTGTTCCAGATAAGCTATTTAACAGAGGGGGGGCTATTTTCTCAGTGTGGCTGTGGGCTACCTCTACTTTCAGGTGTGTAGATGAGCCACAGTTAGTAAAACTGAAATAAATTAAAACAATTATTGTAATATAAATGTTCCGAAAAGTAAACAATATTACTTACATGTTTATTTATATTATTTCGTTGGATTTGAATGCTGCTCCCATCTATTGCAGCAAATGCTTCAATTTTCTTGGAATTTGCCTTCTACAAAGAATCGTTTCATGACTGATCACACACCTTTTTACATAAAAGCAATAAGCATTTTCCCCAAAATGCTGAGAACAGACGTAAAGGAGTTTAGCTTAAAATAATTTCTAGACAATTTGATTAATGGTTTGTAACCACTATTTATGTTAAGTGCTTGAGATTCGTAAGAGACCTGAAAAATAAAAAGCTTTAGAATACAACAATAGGAACATAAATAAAATAGTTACTGTTACTTACAAATGGAAAGATTTCACATAAAATCACCAAGTAAAGCAAGGTTTTCAAGACATTCAGTACTTGTTAATGGTTTTGTAAAGTATAGGTCCGTAAATAATATCTTTGGGGCAGACTTTGGGTAAATATTATAAAATAACCAATAAAACTATTGCGCCAAGATGTAGGCAACACGAATATGTGTTCAAAATGGCGAAGTTTTCCATCTCTTTTTAAGAGGCACTCAGAAAACTGCGCAGTGCCATTCTCGATTAATATCGGACCATGGGCCCTATTCTCGAATGTCTATTTCTGAATGTCACACGCGACATTGATGAAATGTCGAATAAGAACGCAAAAACGTATTCTAGAATGGCGAATTCGACATTTCTTGTTAGACATAAAGTCGAGTGGTATACAACCAGTCGACATTGTAATGTCGCATGCCTTTTTAAATATGATGTTATAATATGAGTGTCGTGACAGTGACAGTTTATATTTATTTTTAAGAAAAATGAAAATAAGTATTGTACAAATTGTTTTTAAAAATATATGAAATGGTTATTTACAATTTCACATAATTTATCAATTATTAGTCCTGTCCAGTGTCGGATTGGGCCGTTGGTCTACAGGCAAAAGACCGGTAGGCCTTCGTTCAAGCTGTAGGCCCTCTTTCAGGCAGTGGGCCCTCTTTCAGGCAGTGGGCTCTCGTTTGGGCAGTGGGTCCTCGTTCGGGCACTGGGCCTCAATCAGTGGAGCTAAGTTAGTGGACCTCAGTCTGTGTGCCCTTGAGAATAATAAATGTGAAATAACCCTTGAAAAAAGCATCAATGTGCAAAGAAGGCCTTTTTTGCTCTTCATTTTATGTAATGTTTAGATTGTATTACAATAATATATTTCTTCTTCTTTCTGTTTAATCTCTTATCAAATTGCACTTCCAATTTTCTATTTAATCTCTCATGAAATTTCAGTAAAAAAGATTATATATTTATGTTTTCTCTACTTTCTAATTAGTATTTATCAAAAAGATATATATTCTGGATGTATTTTCAGTGTTATTTTGTATTACTAAGAGATTCTTCAAGTGATTGTCTGCTGTAATATACTCGTATTGTATGTTTCTTTCCAATGTTGTCAGATGTTACCATTCGCCAAATATGTCACCGATTTTAAAATGTCTATTTGTCTTTGAGAATACGGATAGTGTCAGTCGATCGACATTTTGATAGACATTAGTAGTAGACATTATGACGAATGCGACATTTTTAATAGACATTCGAGAATAGGGCCCTATACCCTAATTATTTATTTCTCACATTCAACCAGCAGTTGCACCAATCTTTTTAACAACTTATTCTGAAAATTGATTGAATCCATCACCCACTGGATAATTCGGAATCAATTACTATGACAGGATACCCCGATACAACAGACATTTACAAGAACATTATTCATAATATTTGATCGAGTGCTGAGAGCGGATTGAACGGATAGAAACCATGAATTACTTGCCAAGACACCGTTCATGAATAATATCAATCTGGTTTTATTTTATAGGTAGGCAGAAATAAGAAATTATGACCGCAACCGAAGTTGTAAGAACGCCTCTACTCGATAATTACATACATCATGACCGCTTAGGTAGTTACACACATTACCTATGGGTGTTATTGCGGAAAATTGCCGAAGATTTTAAACGGACTGGATGAATAATTGTATCTAATTGAAAAGCTCTTAAAGGAATTGCCGCTCGTGGATATGTGGTTAACTCATTTTTATCATAGATCATTACTTGCATCGTTTAAAAAATATTAGATTGTATTTTAATCATATTTATAAATTATATTATTAAATAATACTTTTTTATATTCTGTTGGTGCGCCACTGTTATTTTTAATAGTTATATTTTTTATTTATTTTATCAAATTAATATTTTATAAAAATTAATTCTTTTAAAATTACTTATCTGTTTAAAATAATCTTTCAATTATAAATATTGTTTCAGAACAAAAATGAATCACAACAATAGACATAAATTTTTAAATCAGCAAAAATTGATTCATATGTTTAATGATTTTTACCTACTAATCGTGGATAGATGTTTTTGTGCGATGTGTTTGTATTTAGATAACCTAGTAGAACAACCATAGATATAACAACCTTTTGGACGTTGGAATCGCGATGGTATCTAATTTTGACAGTGAACTAGACGAATATGGCGACAAGTGTTTCCGGTCTACCAGTGACGTACTGTCATAAAGGGGCGTAGAAAAGAAAATAATAAATTCTCATTTGCATATTATCTAAATTTACCGATTTCTCTCAATTTAGCGAATTGCTATTTTCTTGCGAGAAGTTGCATTTTTTTTATTAACCTTCATTACGTGAATACATTTTAATTTAAAATTGCATGTTGTGTGGGATAAATATAGGAAAATATTTTTGGGATAATTTATAGAGGGATTTCATTTGAAAACCCAAAGAAATGGTGTATTAAAAAAAATATTGACTTTTTTACGTCTTTATTATGATAATGTGTTTATTAATCTACATTTTACAAATTATTAAGGTTTGAAAAATAAATATGTTTTGTACATATGCATTAAAAAAATGGAATATCCTATATTTATATTAAGGTCAAACACCTCTGTGATATTTCTTTCTTAGATGTTTTTGTTAGAGTACATATAAAACTTCCTAATATCGAAGAGAATTTCTGATCATTTTATTACATAATATTAGTAATATTTTTTGCAGGACAATTCTGCATAAGCACGTAAAACACCTTTCCAAGAAAGGATTCTACAACGTAATAATGATTCTATGAGTGCAAAATAGATTATTTTTAAATGTACATTCGACGCATTATTTGTATGTTTAGTCCAATTATGATGAGAGTCAATTTGTACTCTAAGGTATTTTATATCATTTGTAATACTTATATAAAACTACTGAACATTACCTTTTATTGTTTCTATAGGAAGAGGCCATTTTTTTGTAACTGTATAATGGAACAACATAAGTTTCATCAAAGGTTTGTAAGTTTTTATAACTAAACCTTTCGAAAAATTTTATAAGATCTGTTTCTATTAATAATTTTAATCAATTCCAGTTCTCTGAATTTTACAGAATAAATGTGTCATCTGAAAAACTTAC